ATATTGTTAAGAGTGAAAAATTAAGGCGATTTGAAAAAGTCGGCCAACGAACGGCGCAGAAGGAGCGCGCGAGGCAAATTTTGCAAGAGCTGGTACGAGGCTGTGTTCGGGCCGGTGCCGGGAGTTTGCAATCGCGCGTGAAAGTGGCCAACGTCGCGGCGAATAGACTCGTCCGTGGCTCGCTCACTTTATCGTTGCACAGTGAAAGGGCAAAATGTAGGCAGAACACGCGAACGATCGCCGCGGACGCATCCTCGATACGTAGAGCTGACTCTTATCGACCTGACACCGATCTCTCCTCCAGGAGAGAATCTTCTATTCACGTGAACTCTGGCACCGTTTGGTACCGGTGTGTTTTCCGAACCCCGATCGTGTGCTAGCCGCAATGTTGGGGAAACGGTGTTGACGAAATCAGAAATCGTCGGGCGCAGGTCGGTCGATGGTTCGAGAGGCGAAGAGGTCTGTTGATTGGAAAATATGTAAATAAGGACGAGATTTTGAAACTTGGAACATTGGCGTCCCTGTTGTTGGTTTGGAACAGCTGTTTCAGAACTATTTCAGTATGCGTAAGAAGAAAAAGAAGTAATAATCAGGAGCTTTGAAAATTTTTAAGTTTAAAAATTTGAAATTTGAAACCTTGAAAATTTAGAGTTTGAAAATTGAAAAATTTGAAACCTTGAAAATTTAGAGTTTGAAACTTTGAAAATTGAAAATTGAAAAATTTGAAACTTTGGAAGTTAACAAATTTGAAACCTTGAAAATTTAAACATTTGAAAGTGTGAAAATTTTAATTCTACAGTAATTCTACAATTACAATTTTACAAATTTCTCTGCAGCAAATAGAGTAGTTGATAGACTCGGGGGAAGTGTATGTAGTAGCAGGTTTCGTTAATAAGATGCATCTGCAAAAGTGATGAGTAAGACTGGTGTGATTCTGATCCAGCAGTGAGTCACAATGTCGACGAATGGTGCTACCGTATTGTTGGTCACTTCGTTTTAACATAGTAGATGATTGGTAGAATTTCTTATTATCTCTCATTTTCCCTCATACTTAAAGCGTCTTTGTAGTAAATGGAAAATTGTTAACTAGAAGGATGATTCACTAACTGCAAATATTAAGGAAAAATTGAATGGAATGACGATAGAGAAAAAATTAAAATTAGTGAATCATTCGTTTGGAATATTTATTAAGCTGCTTATGCATACATGAGATCTTCTTTTCTTCTTCCTTCAGTTACTACAAACTAAGAATAAACAAAACATATTAAAACAAAAAATGAAATTACTTTTTCACCTTTGAGGCGATTTAAATACAAAAATTTCTAAAATTACAAATTTACAAAATTGCAAATTAAGTTTGCCGATTCCTTCCGTACCGATTCTCGATACAGTCGCGAAAGAAACGAAGTCAGAAACGAACGCAAGAGATGGCACCACGTTTGCCATTGCAACGTCTAGACGAAACCCCAGGGAAATTAGCATAATTTACAACACGTGTGTGGCTGGTTAGCACAAAAACGAGCATGGACTGATAATTATTGAAGAGAGAACATGACGCGCGAATACAGTCGCGTTACATAAATACATTTTAATATACCAACTGGCAGAGATTAATTTACTTCGTTCCTATAAAACTAACCTCAACACTCCTCTTACTTCTCCCTTCAACTCCCTCCTTTATTCAAATACGAAAACAATACACCAACAACCAATCCATAAACCTAAAAATTGTGCAACACAGTGATTCAAGAGCTGCAATTGCACGTGTAACGCAAATAAAATATTATCGCAGTAATTACTTGAAAACACTCGTATAAATGTATCGATAAGCACTTTGCTACTTTTTTTTCTCTACGTACACCGACGTTCGTAAGTATTAAGGCACCCGTTATGTTCGCAACAGAAAGTGTTATATGATTTAACTCGCATTTCTTCGCCAGATTTAGTATCACATTATATTACGAGATTCCAGAGCTGAGCAATTTTTTTTCTTTTTATCTTAATTTATGTAACGACTGTTCAGGTTTGTTTCACATTCAACAAAGTGTCTTAATACTTACGAACCAGAGTGTACGCGTATACATTTTTTTCCTGTAAATTTATTCTCGTGGCGTAATCGCGAAAGCTCGTTGCAATTCTCTCGTTAATAACGCTGCTAAAATTTTCCCAAGCTTCAGCAGGGGAGGCTCAATGGCGTGCTTTTTCGAAGGTGAGGTTAGGTTAAGGTAGCACGGAAAAATCCTCTGAATAAATCATGTCTATATGTATAGTGGAACGAGTTAGAATAAAAAAGATTAGTGGAACGTGTTGAAAAACAGAAAATTATAATCGCATGAATATTTATGTCGAATATTTCCTGAAGCCAAAAAAGGACGTTGCGCAATGTCCGCGAAATACAGTACGATAAGGCTCACTTCTCCGAATTGATCGCTACAGGTTTCTTCGAAATGTCAAAGTTACGATACAAAGATTGTTTTTCGTCGCATTGGAATCTGATAAAATACGCGAGTTTCGTTAATTCATTCGCTTTCTAGGAAAGTCCGGCATACGATGTTCCTCCTCGCCTCTGTGTTAACATCCTTCCAGTGTTTGCTCGTTTCTGGATATTCGCACAACTTAACTGCTTTCACTACGGATCGACTATCCGAAAATCTTAGCTGTTCCGCATGTCGAACAACTTCTCAAACTTTCAAACATTGCTTCGATCGATTTGCCTCGTATATTATTATGCTTTTCTTTCAACAGGGCTTGAAATCGGTTCTATTTATTTGGTCAGTAATTTTTTTAATTAATAGTAAGTATTTTTTTAAATAAATAGTCAGTAAAAATGAATATTTTGGTCAGTGGATATAAATTAAATTAATTGTCAGTATTAAATCCCATTTTGTCAATACAATGTTCGTTATTTGGTCGCTATTAATTTGTCTTTGGTCGGTAAAATTTAATTTTTAGGTTAGGTTAGAATATTTTACTGTACACACTGACCATCTACTTAAAATACCGACAAATTACTACGTCTACTAATATTTGAACGAAAATACCGACCATTTATTTATAATACTGATTGAATTTTTTAAAACACCGGCCCAATATAAATTTGATACAACTCTCAGCGCAAAGACGACCGTCACGCGTCTCTAAGAACTGTAGAATGACTCTTGCAACTCCAAGAAAACTCATTACAACACTAAGAGGTCTCACACAACTCTCAGAGGACTCTCGCAACACTGACTCTATCTGCAAGAAAATCTCTTCCTTCCTCTTCGTTCCCTCCCACCACGTACGCAGTCTATTTCAGAGTTTTTCCAGCAAAATGGTGAACTCATGGGTGGGCCTGGTGCGTCACCGAGTGTTTTTGTTTTACGCTTCGTTCCAGTCCTCGCCGACCCTCAGTTTCTCTTTCGCAATTTCTTTCCTGCGCTTTTTAAAACTACGTAGCAAGAGGTAAGCAGTTTTACGATGCTACGGAATGAGTAGAATTGCATGGAAGTGTCCCGAAGTTCCCCGAAAAGTGGTACAAGGCTAGCAATCGAACAGGTTCGCAAGATGGAAACCGTAGCTGTCGCGTGTGATTATCGACATATCGACGAGC